TTGCAGATAACCTTAGCATCCATTTGCAATATAAGAACTAGGAGCATCTATCTATCTATCTATCTATCTATCTATCTATCTATCTATCTATCTATCTATCTATCTATCTATCTATCTATCTATCTATCTATCTATCTATCTATCTATCTATCTATCCATCCATCCATCCATCTATCCATCCATTATCTATCTATCTATCTATCTATCTATCTATCCATCCATCCATCCATCTATCCATCCATCCATCCATCCATCCATCCATCCATCCATCCATCCATCCATCCATCCATCCATCCATCCATCCATCCATCCATCCATCTTTATTTCTGTAAGGATAATGAAGGAAAACAAATCACTGAAAGAGGAAATAATATTTGGCAGAAATAGCAGAATCTTTCCCTTACTTTCTTCCAGCCTTCTTGGAAAGCATTAAGGCCACCAGGTTGCTTCTGAATGCCCTTCCCTGGAGGGATCTCCGTTCCTGACATCTAGTATGTCAGATTCCATCTGAAACCCATCAGACATACCCAACAGCAAGCAGCTTTGAAGTTTTGCCAAGAATAGAAGATACGTATTTTTACTGAGCTACTCCTTAAAAACACAAGGTGTATAACCTTAGTTTTAAGTCCTACGTATATAAAACCAGTTAAAAATTTCCTGAGGCATAACTACAAGCCTAAGGAAAAAGGCCACAGTATGATGTATGTTTCTCAGTGGAGACCAAGGAAAGTGCAGAGTTCTCCTTTTGTCTCTCCTGCCACACTTTGCATTATGCTTGGCTGAACTGTGGGACATGCCTTTCACCAGGACACACAAGGAAGGAGTTCTGATGGAGAGACTGCACGCCTTATGATTTAAAAAAAAACTGCTTATAGATAACTAGCATGTCAGGAGATGACGGGACAAGAATACTTTTCCCTGACAAAGCCAAACCTGTCATAGGGAGCAGCATTTTCACCTGCATGTCCACATGCAGTCCCAAATCCGCAATTTCAAAGGGATAATCTAGCAAGAATCCATCCACATGACTTGTAATAAAGGTAATTTGGTTCTGAACATGAAGACTGTTCCCACCATGAAAGACTGGTTGCTTATTTGTTGTATCTCTCCTCCCCATTGAGAAAGTTACTGCTAACTACTGTGGGCAGGATTCTTCTTTCTCTTTTTCTAGATCACTGGGCTTACTTCCAACAATGGAAAGTAGCCTTTGAGTCTTTTCTTTCTCCTGTGATCAACAGGCTTTTACAGAACATCTGCCTTTATTTTACAGAAGCTTTTGATTGGAAGAGGCTCAGGGTTCCTCCCCCCCCCCCATTCCATCCTATTAAGGAGAATCATTCTCATAAATCCTGATACTGTCTATTGAAATGGGAATCCAATGCAAACTTCTTCAGTAGTATGATTCTTGCCTTCACATGGCTATCACAAAAAATACTGGTAGAATTGGGAGGGGGCTAAGTGGGGGGAGGGAGGCAAGAGGTGACTTGAAAAGAACTTGTTAGCTGATTGCTTTCTAACAAGACCTATGCAACTCTGCACTTTTGATTTATTTGATATTCAGGCACCTCTTGCTGCTTTGTGGAAATACCCCAGACCTTGGCGCTATCACAACACAGCACTGTTTCCTAGGATAGCTTCAGGTGAACAATGGACTTCGAGCTAGTAGGTTAACACATGCCTCTGATAACATGAGATGACACTTCAGGGTGTCATATCTATACACTTTTAGTAATTTTCTTGTCATATTTACTTATGTAACTTGTTCAACTACTCCCTTGTTCTACAGCTACGCATTACTGTGATTACAGCTATCTACAGCATGGCCATTTCAGCTTAAGATATAAAACTCAAGCTGCCTTCCATTTATTTGACCAGAAAGCGGTCTGTGGAGAACAGTGCTTCTGGAGGTGGAACAGTCACATTCAGAAATGATAACAGAAGAAAAACAAACATGGATATATTTTACCACATCCTTCTGGGCAGAGCTTAATTCCTAGAAAAGAGTCTACAGAGAGAAGGTCTCGTTGGAAACAAATCACTACAGTACACATTTCCTCTACGCTGCAATAACACATGGATGACTTGGAAAATGCTTTTTATTCCTTCTCAAAGGGATTCTTACCTGTTCTTACTTCTGAGCCCCAAATTTCAGGGTGAGCCCTGGTGTTTAAAATAACTACTGTCAAACTGTTTTTAGAGTACAACTATACAGCAAGAAAAATGTGAATGGACTCAAAGTGAAGTCACATCTGGGAAGTAGGGTTTACCTGGGTAAATTCACATTAACTGGCCACATGGGGAGAAAGGAGGAAATTGACAAAGAGCCTTGCTTCTAGTTTGTTGATGTAGTTCCCCTGTAGTCCTCCTGATTTGCAGTAGAGATGGTAACAAAGGAACTACTTTAATAAGTTGTAAAGAAGGGTCAAGTGGAAATGTCTTCCTCTCATTCTCTCCCCACTCTTCTTTTCACACTTAGATACACTAGTGCAACAGTGCTGACCTTTTTAAAAAAAATTACATTATTTGCAAGTGTTTTTATACTGCCCCTCCACCTTTGCACCACTGCACCAAACTCCAGCACCATTGCACAGTTTTCTGAAGTCGCTCAAGCATTCACACCACCTGAACTGATATAAATGGATCTAATGTTAAAAAAACAACAAAACAAAAACAAAACAAAAAACAAAAAACCAACCTGAAAGCCCCAGCAACGGAGGAGAAATGTATGGGGGGGGGGAAGGGAGCCAGGCTGATTCACATTGGCTTTTACATCGTGTGGTCCATGAAAACATATGCAAATCCAACTGTTCCAGTCCCATAGCATTTCCCTAATTATATGTCAGTGTAGTTACACCCTTAGTTTCTGCTCTGGGACAGGTTAAGTTCTGCTCTGTATATGTTAAGTCTGCAAATCTGAACAACACAACAAGAAAAAGCAACCAAGGTCAACTGAGCTTGTTTTAAAAAAAGAGAGAGAGGCATAAATAAATAAAACAAGTTGGGCTGATTCAAATATTGCAGAGACAGTCTAGCGTTGTTGCTTCCATAGTGGCACCCTCGCCCCTGGTTTTCTTATCTCTGGTTTTCCTGCCATGCCAAGCTGTATTTCAACACCCAGTGTGAGCTCTGAGGAGTCATATGGAATCTCAGACCACTACAACTGGGAAGGGGGCAGCTTCCAGAGTCTTGAGGGTGCACCTCTTATATATCTTGAAGGGTCACGCACACTCCTGTGCACCTATTTTAATTTGTTTACATAAAAAGCTACTCTGACTCAGGTAGTAGAATTTTGTGACTGTTTTTGTCTATTCTTGGTCTGCTTTAGACCCAGGAAGAGTCTTTTTTAGAATCTGTGATTTCTGATCATTTTTTGTATTTGAAAAAAAATTCAGTGTCTTCCTGGAGGGAAGACAATCCTTGATCTACAATGAGATACATGCTAGAGGACTCCTGAGGGCCCCTCAGTACAGAGTAGAGACCTCCAGAGCTGATTTATAGCCATTAGTACACCTTGTCGAGATCAAGCGCAAGCCACTTCCCTTAGAAAAAAGCCAGCATATTATTTTCAGCACGGAGTTTATTATATTTATGTCTCATCTGCCTACCAAAAGTGGCCCTCAAGTAGTCCAAGTGCTACATTGCTTTGGCACCATCGTGGCCCTTTCTTTCTACATGTAGTCAAAATCTACATGGCACTAACAGCTGGAGCAAGTCCCTAGATTATTCTTTGTCTCAGATTAAAATCCAAAACTGCCAAGAATTTACTCCCCTCTCTTCTACACAGCTCTAAATCCTGAATATTTATCTCTGTCAGAGATTAGCTCTTTCCATAGAAAGCAGTCAGAACACAGAATCATGGGATATGGCCCTCGAAAATATCATTTGACTACAATTTCCTTCACCTTGCCCAGTTTGGCCTAATAGGCATGGCAATCCATTTTCCTTTCTCATCTCCTACTGTGTTTTTGTTCAAGGAAGATTACTCGCTGGTAGGGCTTAAGACTGCAGTCTGAGTTACTTTAAATAATCATAATGACAGGAACATACTTTACAACTGCTGCATTTGAAATAATTATTCTACACACCTTTAACTGAACTGCTATTATTTATTACTCTAGTCACTTTCTTTGACTGGGCATTCTAAGGTCTTCTGCATGGTAAATGCATCAGTGGTGCATCTAACCTGGCTTTTAACCTTACTGAAATTTTTAAAAATAATAATAAAATATTTTTATGACGCATTAAAGATTTTTTTGTTATTTCACTTTTCAGTATTTCAACAAAGTTACAGCTTGATGAAAAATAAGGGGCATCGTGCACGAATCACGTATTTCTTTAAAAGCCTATGAATAGCAGCATTTGCAAAAACATCCCCTAAAACTTGCCCCAAACACCACTGACACAACAGTGGTATTTGGGGTCCCTTTATTGAGAGAAAGGCAGCTTATAAATAAAACAAACAAACAAATAGAGATATAAATAAAATAAGCAAAAACTTTGATTATTATAACTTCTGAACTATTGACAGATCTTTGTGGCTATTGGTGAGGTTTTTCTGCTGATTTCCAACCTGATGAAGGACATGTCCCATTTTGTCATTTTTAAGAAAACATAAATGTGTTTTGTATGTGTGGTTTTTTTTTCTTGCAGAATGGTATTGTGAAAATCTGAGAAGTGTGAATACTGAAGAATGGAGGCATTCCAGTTGGTGTACTGACCTAGGGCATGTGAGTCTTTATAAATTAAAATACAAAGCAAACACAATTCTCCCCCATTCTTGGCTTGTGGCTTGCAGTTTGCATACATAGTTATCCAGCTAAAATGGGCAGGTCCAAATCCTGCATCTTAAGAACTACACAGAAAGAAATTTCCAGCAAGGCTTTTTCAGGCAGGCTACAAAGTGATACAGAAGCCACTTAATACTACTCTAATCCTGCACTCAACAGTTGATGCTCATTCTGATCAGATAGGGTCAGTTGCAGTTGGAAAGAAAACCTTACCTGTCCTCCTTTGGGCTGGTATTTGATGTTCTCCGTTGACCCAATTTTAGACCTGACATTCTTGAGATCGGGCAGAGGCTGGTTAATGAGCCGTAGTTGCTTAGGGGTGGCTGGAGATTTTGGAGGTGTGCGTATGATGGCAACTTTCTTCTCAGTGGGAACCAGGATAGCTGATTTGGGAGTTCCTGGTGTATGAGGGGTCCTGGAATAGCTAGGGGTCCCAGGAGTGCCTGGAGTACGGGAAGAATAACTAGGTGGGGTCCCAGGAGTGATTGCAGTAGATCCTGGTGTAGTTGGAGTTGACGTGCCACTCTTCCCTGTTCGGCTTCGAATAGGCTCTGATCCTGTTTTGACAACAGAGGAATATGGAAACTATGATTTCATGGAACATCGGCATCCAACAGAGAACAAGGAGTCATGACAGTGAGACTAAGGATAACTGTAATGGGATAATTATAATTCAAGAACTATTCACTCTGCTTTAAGGCTTTCAGAAGGCCATGAAGACACTCAGCAACCCCCCAAATGACAAGAATGCCACAACATGCAAGCAGATTTTACAGAGTGTCCATGGAGACTAACAGAGATTTTAAATTAAATCTTACATGGTTTGCTGATCGTATGTTTACAGAGAAATAAATTATAAAACAGAAAACGCACCACTATAGACATGAATGTAAATGCAGACATTAACACCATTTCAGTTGACTTTCCTCTTTTGGCTATACCTCGGGAATCAATACTATTAAACTGTTCTTAAGTCACAAAAGCCCTTTCCAGGTAGGAAACTTTCATTTCTAAACCCTAACAGCAGCATTTTCCATATTTTGTATCATTCACATCCTCATACATTAAATCTCTGCCAGAATTTATATTTTGTGAATTGCCTCAAGTTAAGAAATGATCATTTGTTGCATACTGAGTTTGTGACTTAGCATCCACCTGATAATGCCTAAGGTGATTTTAAAACTTAGGCAATTTGGCTGCAATAGTTAACCAGTCACATAGGGATGCCAGAGGATTTTAGCCTTGATAGGGATGAAAAGTAGGGCAATGGTAAGAAAATATATGAGGCACTGAACTAGCTCAGATGTGTGAGGCATGAGATAGGGAGAGAAAGCAAGAAAACCAACAGAGGCAAGTTACATATTAAGTTGTGGGAATGTGTCCTGGCTGCCATATTTTTTTCTGCTAACCCAGTCTCTCTCCCAAAAGACATCTTTTCCCTCTGTTTATTCCATCTGTAGTTATGTTTCCCAAGAGAACTAGTGGAAATATCCATATTGAACACTTTATCAGAACTCTCAGTGACCATCCAGAATTTAAAAGGAGAAAAAAAGAGAGATCTGGTGTATACATTTGGAAGCTGTATATGATACAAAAGACTGACAGGATGCTGGTAAAACCCATCCCTGCTCAAATACAAGCAGACCTGTGATTCCTGCACCACTATGAAGTATTTGGGTCTACAAAGCGGCAGGCTGACAAGGCATAAGGGGTGGAGTAGGGAAATCGTCAGCCTTCTATCCTTCTGAGGTCGGTAAAATGAGT